AACTATCTTCTCTATATTACTATCGTACTAGTATTCTGTGTGTGATTCACTTACACTTGTGGCGCAAGTTACCATAACTTGTTTGGTCTTTTTTCTTCTAAAATCCTCTGTTTCTTTTGTCAAAGTGTACCCAGGATGATTCAATTACTTTATAACCACGCTTTGATGGAATAAAATTATTCTTATCTTTTCTTATACTGTTAGTTTCACTGTAACATATTAAACGTTAGGCCTATGTCAGTTGTTAGACCTATCACTTTTACGGTACTTAACTTCACACAGCTATATTCTCTTTTGTTATTATCTGTCTAATACTATCTGTCTGCTGCTTCCTGCTCGTCTCACACTATTTATATCTTTATTACATAGTCGTCTGGCCACTTTTTTTATATTCTCAGCACCAATTAGTTATTAAGAAAACCTTCTACAATCATCTGCTTTTAACTCTTATTATAACAAAACTTAAAAATAATAAAGTATTCATACACAAATATAAATAAATCACTAATATTTAAACCAAGCAGTCTTTTATATCATGAAATCACTATACTTTGTCAGTTTCAGCATCATGAGCCATTCAAAACTTTAAACTGCATTTTGCTTGTACCATGTATGAACTGTATTTTCTTGTCAACACTTCCACATGTTAGATGACATGAAAGGAAGTTTAAAAGCATAGTGTTTATAGATACTACAGTTGAGCCTCTCTCTTACTTTAGAGTGTGTATTAACCTCTGCAATGGAAAAGTATTGAAAGATGATCAGCCCAGTAACATAGGGTTCCACATGAGTTTACGATTTGATAACAGAACAACAGTATTCAATTCTCGTGTTCAAGGTGCTTGGCAGAAGGAAGAAGTACATCCATTGCCACTAGAAGCTGGAATCAACTTTCAAGTGATGATTCTCGTTGAGAATGGGCATTTTATGGTATGAAATGAATCAGTAAACTGTGACTTCTGTTGTGTTCAGATTTTCTTAGAAGACAGCTAGTTCAAATGAATATGCATGCATGTGTGTGTATATATGGTCTTAATTTCTGGAAATCAGAATTACATTTTTTATCAAGATATGTGCATTTATGTATATGTATGAATAGTTATGTATATGCAAAAACACACATGTACATATATAAAAAAAAAAGTTAGTCAAGTGGTAGTCATCCCAATGTGAATAAATGATTAAAAAATAAAGTAATGCTATTCTGTTATTTTTTTTTAAATGAACTTGGAAATTTTAAAAAATCCATATTGAAAGGGCACTTTTGCAGTATCCTACAACTGCTGTTCAGTTTCTTATAAATTCAGAAGTTTATTTCAAATATCCCAATATTATTAACAATTCAGGTGTTAACACGTAGTTTCCTATAAATAGCTGTATCTGTTTTGTAACTCAAAATAAAACTCAATCAGAATGTTTTTTTTTTTATAAGGTTTGTAAAGAAAAGTAACATTGGTTGTATTGCTGTCATGAAGTAGTGCAGCAAAACTTGATGAGCCAATGACATGAAGATGATGACATGTCATTTATCAGTTCTACCATAATTGCAACGATGGCACTCTATGGGCTACAGTTCTTAATTTTGATATGTTGCTGCTTTTATTTCTTGTCGGTTATAATGTGCCTCTTCGTTTAGAATGTTAATATTGTTCCATTCAATTTTGTAGCATATTTTGTTCATTGATAACAAAGTTTTCTTGCGCTCCTGAATATTTGTATTGGTCTGTTTGTTACACCAATGTGTTTTTTCTGATAACTGTGTTTTTTAAAAACTGAAAAAAAAAACGTTTTTTTTGCTCCTGTTGTATTCTTGAACTTTCTTCTGGTAATTGATTTCTATGTGCTTGACATCTTCTGAAAATAGATTTTACACTACCGTTTCTACAAGTTTGTGTCAGTTTTAATGATTTAGGTACATGAAGAACAACTGTTGTTAGGTTTTCATGTTGTGTTGATTTAGTGTTTGCTGTTTGAGATTTCTTGTTACAAGTAATTTATTGGCAACCAGTTATTTTTGATGAATAACCAGTTCTTAAATCATTTTTTGTATGTTTCAGTTTCATTGGTCATGGATGTTTTGTGAGTCACGTTTCTAGACCTCTTGTTAGAGAGTTTGTAATTGATTAATTAACTCCAGATGAATGTTGGGAATGATAATTATTATATTAATTATTGTTTAAAAGCATTCTGTAGGTTTTTATTTGAAGATGATTTCCATCCCTGATTATGAGTGTTTCAAGAATAGATCTGGACAACTTATTTGATTTCCTATGAGCAGCAGTTACATTGACTAGTGTCATGTAAGCTGTTGGATAATTAAATTTAGTTTTTTCAATTATTCCAACTATCCAAGTATTTGAAATATTTTTGTTATATTTTTTTATTGATAAGCACAGAGCTACATAATAGGCTACCTCTACGTTGTCCAATTTCAGCCTTAGTATTTTTCTTTTTTTTTATTTCAAGTTTATTCAGCTTTGGTGATTTGAGTCAGGGTTTGCAGTCAGTACCAGCAGTAGCAGTACTGGTTTATAGTATATTATATGTTGAGAATAATATCTGTTATCACATGTCCGATCTTTGGAGTTTTGACTGAATGCCTCGTCTGGTATTTCAGCTTTGCTTTTCACAGAATTATAAATGTTTGTTGTGATAGTGTTGAGTTCATACTTCAGTTGATAAGTGAACTTCACCATGAATATTGGCAATATCATGAAATATGGGAATCTGGTGACTCCCACGCTCTGGGAGAAAACGTTAATGTACCTATGTGACTCATTCCACGTTAGGTATGTGTGTGCGTGATTAATCCTTAACATGTGGGCTGGTCAAACTGTGCATGTCACAACATTTTCATGAGTTACATTCAAAATTGAATTAAACTACTTAATTGTCATGGCATACAAACAAACTTGACATCAAACCATAGATAATAAATCAAATATTAATATTATTTAGGTTTTAAGTTCTTAATTATATAAGGAAATATTTAAAAACAACCTCAAATTCCCCTAGTGTGAGAATTTGGATATTTGTTGTTGAGCTGTCTCCTCTTCTGGATTGTTTTGTCCACCCCCTAGAAAATTACTAAATTTAATATAAAATATTCTCTATAATTTTATCATCGATATTCTGAAGCTATATTTTTATATTCTTCAATCTTATGGGGCTAAAGAGCAATCAATGAAAATTCAGAAATCACTTTCCATGCTTACCTCTAACATACTCTAATTTACAGTTTGCTAATAGATGTTTCTGAGGCTGACTCTCATTAAATTTATAACAAATAGAAAGCCTAGATTTCAACTGAATCACTGCCATAGTCTTAATATCATGTGGGTGTACAGATAATTGACAGTTTGGTTTGATGTGAAACATTTTTTTCCCAAGAGCACACACTGGGAAGAATAGTTGAATATCTAACTGCTCAAGTCACATGATTAGAGATGCTCGAGTACCGGCACTGGGAACCTGGTACTGCCGGTACAATTGCAAACCCAGATTTGAGTTAATTTCCCACTGCCATCAAATTGGCTCACCCTATCTTTGTTCTGGCAAAACTACTAAATCTATTTGCCGTTGTTGTTTATAATCATGAACTGCTCACTACAGGGAAATTAACTGACTAGCAGTACCTGCTGCAAACGTTTTTTTAAACTACTGTCTAGAAGAAAGGCAACTGGCTTGCAGAACTTGCCAACAACATATTTCTTTTTTTTTACTTGTTATAAAATGTTCTGAGAAACACTGTACTAATTGAATGTAATTATTTAGAAAATACCTCTAGTGAATTTGATTGATAGCAGTGCTTGTTGAGATGCTTGAAAAACTGGTGTCTTTCTTTTACTTGTTATAAAATGTTCTGAGAAACACTGTACTAATTGAATGTAATTATTTAGAAAATACCTCTAGTGAATTTGATTGATAGCAGTGCTTGTTAAGATGCTTGAAAAACTGGTGTCTTTTTTTTTTACTTCATAACACCAAGTAACAAAAGTATTGTCCTTATACTGGAATCATATAGTTAATTAATAAACCTGTAGATAGCAGATGACAAAGTACAGTTACAGTTTTTCGGTTCAAATAAAATAATATCTTGATGCACTTTTTGATTAGTAACATTATTGGGCAGGGACTGGTTTGATATGGTAAAGCTGTGTCTGCTTCATGTTTTGAGTTGGCAATTGAGATGACATCAAAACTACTTTAGTCCCCTGGTGAGACAGCAGTAAGCGGACTCGCATTGCTAAAATCTGGGATTCAATTCCCCATGGTAAACACAGCAGATAGCCAATAATAGCTTAATAATGGCAATAGAACTGTAACTAAACTTTAGCAGTTATTTGTAAGCATCATAGAGTAATAGATTGAATATGGCAGCAATTTTTTTGTCAGTCCATCCCTCCATACTATGCATTACTATACTTAGTGATAGAGATTTCTACAAGGTAGCAATATACTTTGCTGTATTATAGGTAGTGGGTGTTAATGAAACTAACCTAACACAACATGATTCTAAATAGAATACCTTTATGTGTTTTGGATGAATTGTAAAAACTGTGGTACATGCCTTCTGATGGTTGTTAACATATTCTATTTAATTTTAAGGCTTTTAGTAGCTAGATTTTTATCAAAAGATTTTCTTTTCCCTTTTTTTGATTTCTAGTAATGAGTCGTATCTCTTGTGCCTTTCTTTCATATTCATTTTTGTAACAACTACCTTCCTTTTGTTGTTAGAAGGTGTGACTATAATACCTTGGCCATTTGTGAGTTCATGTAATGCTCTTTGTTCTTCCCTACTAATGTTATATTTAGGCTTTGAAGGTAATTTGAAAATAATTGACTTCACTAATATTGTAGACTGTATCCTTAATACTGGTGATAATGTCAAGTGTCAATGTTTTAGGTTGGTTGGCAGTTTAATTCAGTATTAAACAGTTGTAACAATAGTACTGTATCAGTTTTCCTTAAAAAACTTGAGTTTTTGGGAAACAAAAAAACATTTAAACTGTGGTGAAAAAGAAAAACCCTGTTAGTTAAATATGTTCATTTATGTACTCAAAATTGTCCAAATACAAAAATAACATTGAAGGAGTATCAAGTTTAACAGTAAATTTTGCGAACATACTGTTACTATCTCCTTATTATGTGAAATATACCCTTGCTTCCTAAATAGCTTATGCAATTGCAGTGTTATTTTGTAGAATAATTTTATAACTATTTGTAATTGCAGTGTTATTTTGTGGAATAATTTTATAACTATTTGTAATTGCAGTGTTATTTTGTGGAATAATTTTATAACTATTTGTAATTGCAGTGTTATTTTGTGGAATAATTTTATAACTTTGTAATTGCAGTGTTATTTTGGGGAATAATTTTATAACTATTTCTAATTGTAGTGTTATTTTGTGGAATAATTTTATAACTTTGTAATTGCAGTGTTATAATAATTTTATAACTATTTCTAGATCAAGTTAGATTCAGAAACATTTATATGTTACATTGTTTTACTGCTGGTTTTTCTTTTACATAAGTGAACTGTGTATGGGACATTGTAATTTAGTTTATTTCTGATAGATTGCAGCAAATGGAAGACATTTCGCACAGTTCAACTATAGAGTTCCATATTCCTCATTGTCTATGATTCAGATTTTTGGCACTGCCCAAGTTACTCAGATTGAATTTCGAAAACAAACATTTTCAGTAAGTAAAGTACTGGAAGAGTGAAAATAGGGATTTTTTAAAAATATTTTTTTGAACATTTGATAAAAATTGTCTGGCTGAATTTTAAGAATGAATATTTATCAATAAAATAGTTGAAGAGGGTTTTTTTCTTCCAAACTACTTTTTAGAAAACATTTATATATTGTATGAACTTCATAGACTTGCTAGTTTTCAATTAACATTTTACATTAAAATGATAAATTTAAAACCTCTTTTATTGTCAAAAATTATTGTAGAAATGTGTAGTTTTTGTTCTTTGAAACAACAATACATAGTTTATAATGTATATACAAAAAATTAAATGTATACCTGAAGCCATTCAGATCTTTGTAATTTGATATATTTGACAACCATAATGTTTTTAAATTAGTAAACTTGTTGAGACTGTATCAGTGCCTTTCTGACAGAATTGTTTGTTAAAATATATTATATATTTTTATGCAATTTTTGGCAGGAACCACTTAGATTTAACTGTCAAAAATTATCATTGGTTTTAATGGCAGTAGTAATACTCACTATCCAGCCTGGAAGGATCTCTATTGGATATTTTTTAATGTTAAAACTTTTGTGATTCTTTGTTATATTTGTTCTATTGTTTGCATTGTGCAATTTTGATAATTTATTTTGAAATGTTATTCCAATTATATGTTTCATTTTTATAGAATTTCCTTCCAAGTTCTTATTACTCAGTTATTATTTACTCATTAGTAAACCGTCTATTGTATGTTTTATAATAAGATATTAGAATTAAAATGAATTACTGTACAAGTCGCATATGTTTAAAGCAATAATAATATAATCACTTGTTATTCCAAGTATGGAATTCCACAAAGATGTTTTTATTTAGGTCTGTCAATATAGTTGTATTTTAATTCTTCAGTGTGTTGAAAATTATAATTATTTTTATATAAAAAGAAACTAATTTTTGTAGTATCAGCAATGATATAATACTGAATGATGTTATGGCTAGTATGTGTTAATTATTTTCATTAATATTTAATTTCAGCAAGTAGGTCCCAATGCACATCATGGAATTTATCCTCCAGGTCATCCCCCAGTTCCTATTTGTCCGACTGGGCCAGTACAGCCTCCTCCACCTTATATTGGAGCTGCTAATCCCTACCTTGCTGTTTGTCCAACTGGGCCAGTACAGCCTCCTCCACCTTATGTTGGTGCTGCTGATCCCTACCTTGCCGTTTGCCCTCCAGCACTGCCGTTATATTCCCAATCAAGATCGGATAAAATAGTTCGCCAACCATTTTATAATCCAGTACGTAAAAAGACATTATTTTGGTTTGTCAGCGTGAAAACCAGTTTATTGCTTACATATTACAATAATATGAAATATAAATACAACATATTCAGTGATGTTTTTATCAAGTATTATGAAAGGCAGTATAAATATTAGGTATTAATGTGGTTGAAGAGTTAAGTCTTAAAGGTTCTGAATTGTTCATACATAGTACATGTAGTTTAGAAATAATTCTAGTTGCTTTTATTGTTTTTTAGCCTTTTCGGAGCAAGTTTATTGGTACAATAATTAATAACTAGCCCAATTGTCTTGCATTTTAGTATGTTAGCTTTCACTATAAGCTTCAACAAACTTAAGGCAAAACATGTTTGTTTTTAAATGAAGTTTATTTTATGTTTCTATTTAAAAATAAATCAAAGTTAAACTAGTAAAGAAATATTAAGTCTTTTATACATTGTAAAAATCATTTATGTACATGTTCTGCTATTCTAGTTAGAAGCTCAAGCAAAAAATATAGCTTTTTTCTGATTCAAACATACTAATGTAAAATAGTTATTCCTATCATATGTGCCTAGTTGACACAAAATGTGGTGATTAAAGATAACCCCCCCCAAAAAAAGTCACACAGATTATCATAGTTATTTAATGCTTTATAAGTGCTGTTCAGATTAGAATGCTGGAAATATGTTTCTTAGAGATTAAAAAAAATAAAAATAAATTATAATTCTGTTATACATGTGTGCTTCCCTGTCAGTCATGTTTTTTTTATTTCTCCAACTAATTTATTCCCCTTGGCAGAAAACTTATATAATCAAGAGTGGCGCTAGTGATGCAAACAAGGTATTTTGCATAATTGGTGCAGAATAATTTTATAAATAGAATTCAAAATAATACAGTTATTACATCCCCTTTTCCTTTGAATTTAACTTGAGAAGTCTTCTGGAATGGTATGGTTGTAGCTGTAGAGCAGTAGTGTTTCTACATCATAATAAACACAAATACAGAGCAGTGATCCACCTACACTCTGTTTAAACAAACATAAAAAAATGTATATACACCAAAGGGTGCAACAAACAAAACTACTGTGCTTGGTATCTGTCTGGTGGATGAGAAACTTGTGATGACCGGCATCACCTTTGAGATGATGTGGCTTTCGGCTCTGGACCTGACTGCAAACTTCCGATGACATCATTGGCAAAGGACTTAATGTTGGTGTTGTCACTGACACTGGAATTTGCGAAGATGATGATGGTGATGACTCTCCTGACCTTGAGATTGTTGGCATTGTAGCACGATGATAATTAGTGACTGAAGATTACTGTGGTTCTTTAAACTTCCTGACGTGGCTTGAATCCCTCTTGTAGCAAATGCTCTCATCAGACTGGATGATGGCCTAAGTGTCACATTTGCGAATTGCATCATATGATTTGTGTTCAAAGTTTGTCGACAATTTGTCTGTATTTTTCTGCTGAAGTAAAACTTGGTCATCTACACTAATCTTTGACTCTCCACCCTTCAACTTGTCAGCATTTAACTTCTCATTTCTTCTTTTGTCAGTTACATGTTTATGCAAGTCTGTGTCTGTCTTATCTACTATAACTTGAGGTAACTTAGTTCTAAGCTGCCTATTAAACAGTAATTCAGCTGGGGACTTTCCAGTCGTTGTATGCAGTGTGCTACAGTAAGCTAACAAAGATGTATTTAATGAACATTTCCAATTATCACCAGTAGTATATGCTGTTCTTACTGTTTCAAAATTGTTTGATTTTATTTTTCCACTTCCCCATTAGCTAATGGGTACAGTGGAGTCACTCTTTTGTGCTTGATTCCATGATCTGTCATGTACATTCTAAGACCATCTGACATAACTTGCCTTCTGTTGTCTGCCTGTACTATGTCTGGTAGACCATGACATGTGCAAACATACTATCTAAATTATCTAGAACTTTCTCTGTAGTGATAGATTTCATGATAGCTAGCTCTAAATAATGGCTATAATAGTATATAACTACCAGAACACACTCTCCATTTGAAAACGATCCTAATAAATTTGCTCCTACATGCTGCCAAGGATGCTCTGACAAAGAAGTAATCTGTAACAGTTCTGATTTTGACAACAGATGAACAGACTGACAACCTAACATTGATGGGAAGTTTTACATATATTTTCAACTTGTTTTATTCATACAAGGCCACCATATTTTTAACATAGCTTTTCCTGATGGCCTTCAGGCACTACAGTGATAACTTCCTGCTGTAACTGTGAGTTATAACTAATTTTGTACCATGTGACACTAACTTGCTGAAACACATTAGTTCAGGAAATACCATCTTGTTTAACAATCTTACGCTATCTGTAGCATGATTGAGTGTACCTGCTTGGGTACACATCCACAAGTTAGTTAAATCTGGATCATCAGTAGAGTTCTACTTGGTGATTTGTGAGCACTTTAGATACTGCAGATTTCAAAATGAAATAAATATACTCTTCTGCAACATTTTGTGAGTTATCTATCATAGCATTTTGCGACAACCAAGACAATGAATGTGCATCATTCTGTCAACCTGATTTATACTGTACAGTGAAGGAATAAGGTTTCAAATGCAAAACCCACCATTTTATACATGCTGAGGGCTTCGATTTTCATGAGTAGATGAACTCAAGCGTCTTATAATCTGTAATCAACTTGATTGAAGTCCTGTACAAATACAAATGAAAACATCACGTGCCCAAACAAGTGATAATGTCCCTTCTTAAGTTTGAGAATAGTGTTTCTTAACATCTGATAAGCTATGACTAGCATATGATACGACTTTGAATTGACCATGTTGTTCCTGAGTTAAAATGGCCCCTAGACCCACT